AATATATATATATTAGGGTGATTTCATTTCTACTTTAGTAATTATAATAACTTTTAAAGGTAACTGCCTTCCCACAACTGGCTGCAGACAGTGAAAGGCAGTAGAAGTTGAGACGTATTAGGTGTAAGCACTCAATTCCATACCCTTATTTGATCATCCATGATTACTGGCTAGTTTAACATCAGCGGAAAGGGGGTTTCAGAAAAAAACAAAACAAGCATTATAAACTAGATTTGTTTTTTCATAAAGGTAAAATGAACTTTGTTTCACATCTTATAGTTGATACAGTTATTTATTCCTAGATTACATCCTTTATGTAATGAAACATAATATTAAAACAACCTTAAAAAAGAACATTGAAATATCATAGACAATAATTAGCTTCAACATTAACTTGTTCCATTTAATTAGGTTCAAAAATCATAACCTAGTGACTGTCTATATGTGGAACGAATATCAGAGGTGTAAACATATATGTATTTATGTATGTATATATATAAATAAAATAAGCATTAAGAAGTTTTTTGCAAAATCCATTGTAAAACCCAGTTGTCACCTTAAAGTCACAAAGAATATTGTCTGTGGTTATAGATGTGTTGGAGATATCCCATCTACCAGACAAAATCCATTGTAAAACCCAGTCGTCACCTTAAAGTCACAAGGAATATTGTCTGTGGTTATATATGTGTTGGAGATATCCCATCTACCAGACAAAATCCAATCCATTTTTTTAAGGTAATAAGTGATTTTAAGAAGCTAAATAGAAGTTTTATAAAATGTTTTCAGTCAGAGATAACCATACCGATTAATACTAGTTCTGGGCCCGGTAGTCTAACTAGTTTGAAAAATAAACTGCTATTTCAACAAATAATTTTTATTATGCAAATAAGTAAATAAATAGTTCTAATTTAATGGTTTATGTTAAATCTTATCCTTATTCCATCAGCAACAACATTGTAATAGAATTTATATCTAAAAACTGAATGAAAACTGATTTTTGACCATATTGATTTTCTGTTTGTTTATTGAAGAAAGCTTTGAAGGAAATTCATTTAAAAGTATATAACAGACCACATAAAAATACTTCTATGTGACCAATCTAGTGAGGATTTCTATATGACTTTTAATATCTAGACAGTGCTTTATAGCAGTGGTTTCCAACCACTAATCTACAGGGAGATCTTGGCAGATTTGCAAGAAAGTTGGAAAAATAAAAGTTTTAAAAAGCTAGTATTGTATGAAGTGGTCCATGAAAGTTTGGGTTTGGAACTAGCTGGTCCTCAGTTGTAAAAAGGTGGGGAACCACTGCTTTATAGCATGTGGAAGTGGGAAGAGATCCTAAATCATAGCAACTTTAATGCAGAATTTATTAAAGGGAATTCCACATCAACACAAGTCTGAAGTGAGTTCACATTCCCACTATACAAGCCACATTTTTGAGATGGCAGGTGGTGTTTCCAGAGAATACTCAATACTTTTTCAACATATTGATACTTTTTAATTTACGTTTTTCTTTTATATTTCTACAGGTTATATCCACTTTCAAAAATTAATGCTAGATTTTGTCTCATAAAACCAGATTGTGGATAATATTTTATTATAACTACAAGATACAAAAAATAGGACTGATAAAATGAATAAATTCCAACAGTCCTATATATCTTATGGATTAGCCCAGCCACCTTAATATCCCGTGACCCACACTGATTGTGAATTGAGTGTCCTAGCCATCATGCTATGCCAGGCCCATTTGAAGATAAAAAGTCTACATCACAGAATTGTGGTATAATTCTTCTAAAAGTGAAAAATCTTTGGATTCTGGAGACATTCTATACAGGACAGGAAGTCCATTTTGAATCAGAAGACTGTATGTTTTCAGTCCATTTGAAATTGTGACTGGAAAATGTTTCATGAATTCTTATAACAATATCATATAATGTCAATTGTATCTTTCTATTGTTGTATTCTACAAATAATCACTACATACCTCAAAAACAAAAAAACTGGTTTCAATTGAATATACTTTACATTTATTCATGTCAACTACATAATTATTTTAATATATGGCCACTATTTCCTCAATTCTAAACCTTCTTTAATAACAGTGATTTAATGCAAACATTTTCAACAAAGAAACCCAGTGCCAAACGTGCTTCCCGTTTCAGATGTGGCTGTGTGTGCTAAATTTCATTATTGTTTGGTAAAGAGTAGTCCAAGAGTTGCCTTCCCCCTGGTAAACAGTTCAAAAGTAGGGATGGCAACAGATAGCCATAGTAGTTTTTCAAGAAACAAGAAAAACCTTCTAGAAAGCCCTCTTGTGACTCAGTGGTAAACTTAAACACTTCTAAAGCTAAAGTTTGAGTGTTTGATCTCTCAGGTGAGCAGAGAACAGCTAGCCTCTTTTGTATTTTTGTGCTTAACGAAAAACAAAAACTTTCTAGTTGACACTATGCTAGTGAATTAATTGATATAGAAATTATATATAGCAGTAGATTCTAAATATGTTACACTGAGTCACCTTATGACTTGTAAACCATTAGTGTAACTATTGCAAAATGCTTAATATGGAAAAACCATTTCTTAAATTACTGTGACAGTTTTAATCAAGTCTATAAATATTTGGAACATTTATTAGGCAAAATATGAAGTACAAAACTGAACTAATAACTCAATTGTACCTCTTTAATAATGATGTGCATTTTTGGTCTTTAAAACATGGTAGAGAATTGTAATGGTAATAAAACATGTAACCATTAGCTTGTGTTTTGCTTTAATGAAAAATATTGCATCTTTCTGTACTTTATTCATTTTTTTTACGAAAAAACTTGTTTTTCAAGCAGTAAATGAAATAACTTTAGATTTGAAAAGCAAAAAGTAAATGTCCATGTTTTTGTTCCTTATTAGTTTTGGGTTCTCCAGGTATTTATTTTCATCTGATGTTTTAAAACATTCATTTTGCACCATAGAAGTTGTGAGCAATTTTAGTATTTTGTTATTGCATATTCAAAGTTTTATATCAGTGCAAAAACTTTCTTTGGTTTACCTTAAAGTCTGTTTTTTTTACTATTAAAAGTAATAGCTGTTAGGGAATATCACAAAGCATTATTTTTAATTGTTTTATGGTCTTATCTAAGGAACTTGGCAGAATTCAACTGAAAAGCACCTTTATGCAACATATGCACTAAACAGCCTAGTTAGAGATTCAGACATAGTAGCTTTTCCTAATTTAGAACTACTAAACAAAGGAAGGGAAGGCACCTCCCAACTACATGACTATGCTTAACCAAGTAACAGAATTGTCAGGTTTTAACATCCTTACAGCTGAAAGCAGCATTATGTGGGTTGAATTCACAGTCTGATAATCTAACCAATGGCCATGGATCTGAATATATTTGAGATTAAGCACAAACTGTAATGTTGTGCTTGTGATATTTTACTACTTATTTTAATTAAATACTTTTTGAACCTAAAATTTAAATACTAATATTAGTTTATTCTACTTCTTTATGCCTGTTAACAGTTTATTGATTTTTTTTGTTATTATTTACAGTTATTACAAGTAATCAGAAGATTATTTTATTGATCAATATTCCAGGGAAAAGGGAAAGGAAAAGGCAAAGGAAAGGGTAAAAACAAACCAGATTTGGAGATCTTCCCAGAAGTAGTCATGGAAACATATCCTGCTGTTTCTCAGAAATTGAGAACATTAGATGTCTTTGCTGGTTGTGGAGGTTAGTGTGAATTGTGTTATTATTAAGAATAAGAGGTACCATTTTTGTAGACCAACTGTAAGTAGGTTTTTATTAAATTTATTGTAAGTTTGAACTTTCTGTGGAATTTGCATGATTGTGATAAAATATATAAATATGTTTACAAGTATCTGTTTCTGTGATCCATTTTCAGTGAATAGAATACTGTCAGCTTCTTAATCAGAAACTTTTAAGGAAAATTTACAAACTATTTTTGAACACAAGAGTATTATTAAACTGTTTAATCTTTCCACATGATACCTCTTAGATACAGACACTTGAAAATTTTATTGAACACAAAGTCAGAGGAAATTCATGATTTTTGAAAAAGATTAAAAGAGTAAAATTTGTAATGGCTCAAAATTTAAATTTTTTTTTCCATACAAATTTCAGCACTAATATTTTGTTAAGCCTATAAAAAGCTTAAAGTAAATGTGGACAGTTTTGTTTATTGACTGTTCTGGTGTTTACTTGAAAACATAAACGGATGTTTAATTAGTGAATGTTCTTTTGAAATTGTATATTTTAACTGTTATTTAATTCTGATGAAACATAGAAAGACAAAAAGAGATGTTTGATTTGTGAATGTTCTCTTAAATATGTGTTTTAACTATTAAATTATGGTGAAACAAATAGGAAGGCATATTTAGTTTGTGAATGTTCTCTTGAAATTAGGTATTTTAACTATTATTTGATTCTAATGAAACAAATAGGAAGATATTTTTAGTTTGTGAATGTTCTTGAAATTATGTATTTTAACTATTATTTGATTCTAATGAAACAAATAGGAAGATATGTTTAGTTTGTGAATGTTCTTGAAATCAGGTATTTTAACTATTATTTAATGCTACTTATAATGATGTGTTTGTAATACAATGAGTAATGTGTGTGTATATGTATTTCTTTTTTGTTGTGATCATTAAGAAAACACTCAAATGATCCTTTAAGACCCAGCTTCAAAAGAAAGGAATAGAATAAAATTAATATTAAATTTCTTTTTGTACTACTAATTCTAATTTTTGTTATTTTGTTTTCAAGGCTTGTCTGAAGGTTTTCATCAGGCTGGATTAGTAGATACATTGTGGGCTATTGAGAAAGAAGATCCTGCTGCTCAAGCCTTTCGTTTGAATTTTCCTGACTGTACAGTATTTTCAGATGACTGTAATGTTCTCCTTAAGATGGTTATGGAGGTAGTGCAATTTATAGCAATTGTAGTTTTTTTGTTTGAATAATCGATTACTGTTTTGCTTCTCAGGTGTTTTATGGGGAAGATGTGTGTGATATTACTGTCAACTCTCTTCATTGTTATGCATTTTACTTTCATGTGTTTATCTTTAAAAGTAGTGTAAATAATCTGTTATTATTTTTTATCTCCTCAACCAAAAAGCTTATTGGATATAGTGATAATTATGACCATCCATCTGTAGACAACTACTTACTGCATGATGACTGGTTCTAAACAGCAGATTATAAATCAAACTTTAAAGGTCATTCATTTGGGAAGGACCCTATTGTTTTTTTTTGTGTTAAAAGGTCAAAGTCAAAATACAAGAAATATGAGTGTATTTCCTGTGCTAAAGAAAACATAACCACAAACACCATATCCTAATAACAACAAACCAAAACAAATAAAAAAAGGTGATGGTTTAGAGGATCAGTCATTCCACTGATGGCTATTTTTGAATTTGGATGTCTTGCATTTTTTCTTGGGTAGACTGATAATCTGCTGTCGATTAAATTTAACAGTTTTAATGTTTTGACTGTAGATTAAAACTGAAATGAATTTTAATAAAACTTTGTTTTTCATGAATGTCATTAATTCATTGGTGAGGTACCTTCCAATGAAGTGTCTTGCAGTTTGGCATTATTAATTACCTACAACTTTTAAGAAAAATATTGGAGTTTTCTGAGTTATGATTAGCATATTGCTTTTTCACACAAAAGTTATTAAAGATATACAATAAGATCTGAGTACATTCAGAGCTCGATGTTAACTTTGAAAATCACCTTTTGTAAGGGTCAATTTTTACTTCTGGAAAAATTATCTGCCTGAATTTTAACTTGCTTTTTCAAACAGAATGTTTCCCTATGGGCAATATACTTTTTTTCTTGATTATTATGGGCAATATAAGTTATTGTTTAGCTATTTTTTTATGAAAGACTTTCATGTTTAATTGAAATGCTGGAAAGGTTTGGAAGTTTGCTATTTTACAAGTAAATGTATGATTGGGTACTCCTTGCATTTCCTTAATGAAACCCATGTTAAGTTATTTGGATTTTTTGCCATTACTATTTGTAGAAATCTCTCATGCTTATCACTTACTGCAAGAAACTTTGGCCTCCTTTTTTCAGGTCACCAACTTTGATAATCATGAAGTTCTCTTTCAGGTCACCAACTTTGATAATCATGAAGTTCTCTTTCAGGTCACTAACTTTGATAAACATGAAGTTCTCTTTCATGAAAATATTGATTTTTAAGAATGAAGGGTGTTCTCCATGTATCAACTGTCAATCACTAGAGCCCCATTTTTTTTGCAAATTTGAGAAATAATGATGTATAAAACAAAAAGCAGCAGATGTAATGAAATAAAGTGAAGTCAGTTGTTAAAACCAAAATATAAAGGGATCAAATGAAAAAATCATCATGCCTCATATTCCTGTGTACATGGTGTTCAAATATATTAAAATATATTGTTAATAAACCTTTATACAGTATGTCTATACACCAGCTGGGACTGATAACGTGCTTTTATTTGTATATGATTATTTTAGTTATTTTATGAGTTTTTAATGGATATTTAATTGGAAAAAAAAGTAATAACCCCCCCCCACTCGAATCCGCATCCCACCAAACATGCTCGCCCTTTCAGCCGTGGGGGCGTTATAATGTGACGGTCAATCCCACTATTCGTTGGTAAAAGAGTAGCCCAAGAGTTGGCGGTGGGTG